ATACAGACGATACGGAACAAAAACACTCTCAATAATAAATAATCGTACAATGAAATAAAAAAATAACTTTTAAAACATAAAAAACAAAAGAAATTAAAAATAATAGATAGAACAAAATTTAAACGTATCTTTAAATTACAACTAATACAAAACTATTGAAATAAATTTAAAATTATAGTTTAGCCCTTACATATTTTTTAATATTAGTACACCGTACAGTAAATACGTCGAAATCCTGGCATAAAGCATTGTAGCTCGAACGCAGCCGGTACAAATGAGAGTGCTGACCGTAACGGGTTCGTCGGAATGGTAGCGCACTAACCTTTTGTATACTAACTAAAAGAACATTATAATGAAGACTCTCAATTAAGACTCGTTATTACAATGTAAACTAAATTACAATCACTTAAAAATAATGCTTGAAACAACAATAATGACATTTTAGAATATTACGTATAACTGCACTTTCCAAATATAGCCTGCGTTTTTCGCGGTAAAAATTTACTTTTTTTACGAAAATGTATTAAACCTCCATAAATTACAAACCTTATTTTTTTTAATGTAAAAAGTTGCCAAACGAGCAGACGGTTCACCTGATGTTAAGTGAATACCGCCGCCCATGGACATCTGCTACACCCGAGAGTTACAGGTGCGTTCACAATCTTTTGAAAATTGGGCTCCGGCTACCTCACTCACCATACGTAACGCGAAAGTATTTATCCTACTTCCACTTTACGCTAGTCTTCTGTGAGGTCGTGGTACTTACCCGGACGGGCCTGCCCATTCGTGCAACAGCCGAGGCTGCTGCGTGGCCCTACCACCATTATATAATGCAACTCTTTGGACAATGTAAACTGCGTTAGATTTTATTAACTGTTTAGACTTTGCGCGCAATTTTAGAACGGTCAGCCATAACGCGTGCAAAGAATATACATATATATTGTAACACGTCTCGCATAAATGATTATAAATAGCTTCTTTATGTAGTCGGACTATAGTTTATTCGTGTTATGTCGCTGGCCGCTTTTGGCAATCGCTTTTTCAATGCGCCACGTAAAATATGACGTCTACGTCTCAAGAAACAAAATGAATCTTTATTGGGGGCAATACAGCGCGGGTACGCTTCCACATTGGGCCACCTCTTAAATTACAAGAAATGGTTAATTGGTATGAATATATGTTGACAGGTTTTTTAGGAGAAAGGACCCGTCAAAATTGTTTTTCAAGGTAGCTAACTATGCTACGTTTACCTTTAAAATAAAACGCATTTTTAATTTTTTAATCAATTATTTTGATGTTAATGGATTAATAGAAAGAAAAACCTCTCGTCATTTCTTTCCATATTTTTTTTTTTACATTTTACTTACTGCTTTTAAAGGAGGTATTGATTTTCAATTGCCTTTATGTTTATACATCCTATATTTCATTAGAAGATGTATAAACATAATAATTTATTGAATACCATAAAGTTTCAACACATCGATTTGATTACTACTACTACATTTGTTATTGTTTATATGCCTGTAAATATAAAACAATATATACTGTTTCAAGTAATTAGTAGTACTTTGGATATTTATTCATCGTATGATTTTGTTTTGTCAAAATTTTTTTTATTAATTATTAACCCTGGTTTTTAAAAGATTTAAAAATCATAAAAGCACGATTATATTTTCAAAGAAATTGTTTTATACGCCACCAGATGTACCAATCAAGAACGAAAGCAGTTTTATTATTTATTAATTCAAAGCATGTTAAGGTTATTTAGTTCAAGTCAATGTGAATGACCTAAAGGATATTGATCCTTGAACTTAGTAACTAAATCCAAATATTCTAAACGACTTGAAGATTTACGGTAAAATAATTAATTTGGCTGTAAATAACAATTTAACTAGTATGCAGCAATAAGACAATTATTATTAGTTGTTAGAGATGTCTATTATGCAGTTTTCCCATATTTTCTTTTAAAAAAAGCAATATTTAAGTAATTTTATTTTTATTTATATTCAAAAATAAAAATAAAAAGGCATAAAATAATGAATGAAGATACGTTTTTGACATATTTAAAAAATTTTATGCGCTTTATTAGTAAGTAAATTCATTAATTTTTGTTTTATTTACGCTAATACTATCCACAATTTGTTATAAAGTACGATTTGACGGATTCATTGGCTTTAATCTAACAATTTACAATATAAGAAGTATTCAGTTTGTGATCGCCGAAACTAGGTACGAAAATCGTAGGAAGTAATATAGAACAAAAATCACGACTTCTACATTTACCGTAACATAACAATGACATAATATGATTCGATAAACCTTAAAGCTTCGTAAAAGAACATCGATTTGCGAATCGGCGTTTGAAAAACATTGAAAATGGTATGGTGTTGCCAGGGGCTCTACAATTTATACAATAAAATATAAGCACAAAGAAGCACAGAGCATAGTTTACCTATAACGTAAATCACTGCAATTTCCTATGCAAGCTGTAACTAGTCTACAACGTCGAGATTTAAAATAAATGAAAGGAAAATGCAATAAAGTTGTAGGGAAAATTTAAATTATTGTTTTAATTTATCACTTAATTAAAAAGACATAGTTATTGTAATTGAGTCAGCCACAAGTCTTACAGTCTCTTACACTTATCGTCAATATAAGTATAGAGCAGGTAAGTGATCACTATCGATCCCATAAACGAGCAATTCTTGTAATATATATATATACAAGAATTGCTCGTTTATATACAAGAACGAAAGCAGTATTATTATTTCCGATTCGGGGGCGAAAAATCGATCTAGCTAGGTTTCATTTTTAGAAAATGTCTTTTTATCCCTGTTTTCAGGGAAAAAAAATCATTCTCCTTCAAATGAGCAATTCTTGTATGTATATATATATACATATTTATATATATATAATCGGAATCTCGGAAACGGCTCCAGCCATTTTCATGAAATTTTGTATGTGCGTAGATTCGGGGGCGAAAAATCGATCAAGCTAGGTTTCATTTTTAGAAAATGTCCTTTTATCCCTGTTTTCAGGAAAAAAAATATTATTCGAAAATGACGGTAAATTTCGCCGCAAAAAAATGTTATAATAGCTCGGTCGGTAATCGGGCGGCCCCAAACCAGACGGCCGCGGTTGGTTTCACGATCATTTACACACTTATTTTTTTTACTTTTTTTTATATACCAGATCATTTTTTTCCAAAATACAAGATTTATCAAAAAAAACCGAGCAAAGCTCCCCCAGGTAATTGTTACATAATAAACCAAACATATTAAATGAGGGGGAACACGTCTCACAACAAAAGGTTATCATGATTGCACGTACCTACGGGTCCTGACCTATCCCAAATCAGCCAAAAGTAGACTGCGTGTCGTCGCTATCATACAGTAAAACAATTTACTAATTGGAAAAACGCCAATCGTGTCATATATTTATAACTATGCTTCTTTTCTTGTACTAAACGTCTCGATCATACGTAGGAAGTTGTTTTATTCGAACGCGATGCGTTACGTTACACACGAGGCTGTTTTTTTATTATTTAAAAAGCATAGAAGCCTTACAGTAATGTCCATATTTGATTTGCATATATTACGTTTTATTACATCTAGTTTAAGGGAACGTTTTTGTAACAAGGAAATAAATGAACGTGGTTTAACGCATATCAAATAAGCCATCGAAACGCAAATAATTAATTAATGTAACTTCGCGATTATTCCGCATTATTAATGTTAAATAAATAGGAAATGTTGACAAATCTACTGCCATTGAATTGATTTATTTGCTCATCGTTTTTTTTATGTTGTTAAGACAAATTATTTGTTCAAACAACGTTCCATACAAGGTGATAGACATGGGTCGTGTTAGTGTAAACATTTAAGTATGTTGAGTTTACATTTCACTACATATAGGTACATACTTTATTATGATATGACTTTATGTATATACATACTAGCGACCCGCCCGGCTTCGCACGGGTGCAATGTATTACACTCATAAACCTTCTTCTTGAATCACCCTCTCTAGTAAAAAAAAACCACCGCAAGATCCATTGCGTAGTTTTAAAAATCTAAGCATACAAAGGGACAGACAGACAGCGGGACGACATTGTTTATATACTATGTATAAATTAAATAACTTTATAATAACTAAAAATGTTAAAAATTTCAGTAACATTCAATATCATAAATACACATTAATTAACCGTGATAATATAGGTAATGGATTACTTATTTTATATGGCACCACGATACTACATTTTAAGGAACAGTCTGACATAAAATGAATGCATTATAGCCTTGTATTTTTTAAATGACTATACACACTTCATCACTTATTTGAGACCTTTTACATTGACCACAAAGGCAATGGAAAATTTCTCTTCGCAAGAGGTATCGTGAATTTTTTCAACGTGTTTTAAACAAGCTCGCAGTGGCGGCCGGCCGTTAACGAATTAAACACACGCGAGAATATTCCACCGGGGTTTGACGTCAATAATCTCGATGAACTCACCAGCACCACGACGCTGCGTTAGCAGTTATGTTAATTTTTTTTGTGCTTCCATTAATATCAGAGTAATAAGCATGTTTTGAAGCGCTTGTATTGCTAAAATTTCCATGCTACGTTTATCGTCCTTAAGCGTCGACTCTATAGGTCAACGTCTGCATATAAAGCCACACAAACGATAATGAGTGAGCTGTGAAAAAATACAAATAACCAATTCCTTCGTTCTTTGTGCCCTGTGCTCAACGATGGGCTGACCAAATCTCTCACTCTCGACAAGACGAGCCCAGTGGAAAGCAGACAGCGTTCAATAATATTGATTCAATGATGATATATCTTATCTGCTTATTGAAGGGAATGTAATTGTAGCCCGACCCGCTCTCTAGCGTTCATCCCGCAGCCGAAACGAGGTGTTCTATCGTTAGATTTGGAATTCGTGGGAGCGTCGGCGAGTGTATAAACTGCGTCGCAGTACACGAAGTCCGTGACGGCGCATGCACGAGTTCGCCGAGGGTCGATCGACGCGGGCGGGTGGCGCAACGTCGACGAACGTGCGCGCGGTCGTCCTTACGCGGAGGCCGCACGCCGCTAATGGGACCATCAACGCAGACGAAATGGGTACTGCAATAGTATTTCGCGTACTTCGACGAGCGTTTAGAGGTACCGGCCAAGTGCGAGCCGCACCCGCGCACGAAGCGTTCCGTAACATTATTTATCAAAAAAGTCGCGTCTGTTGTATGGGAGCCCCACTTAAATATTTTTTATTCTGTTTTTTTTTTGTATTTGTTGTTATAGCGGCAACAGAAATAACATAAAATTTCATAAAATTGCCTGGTGACAGACGCGCAGACAAACAGACAGAAAGCCGAGTCTTAGTAATAGTGGGACCCTATTTTACCCTTCGGGTTCGGAACCCTAACTACTGGCCGATAAAAATCAAAAGCGGGATCTAATCATAAGAATACAATCATCAAATCATAAGTAAGAATGAATTGCATCACGGCGGTAGAGTTATGTAAATAATTCACGAAATCCGGTACAAAACGTGAACAGTACTCGTAAACAATTAGATCCATTCGCTTGCGTCAAACGTCCTGCGTCAGTTATCCGTTTTTCACCAAACACACATAAAATAGCTGGAGGCAGGCATAAACAGCGTGTGATAAATGAAGTAAGTGTTAATAATAATGACACCCATTTGTCCCCCAATGCCTTACCCTGAGTAGTTGAGGTGACACAGAGACGATTAAATTAGCAAACACAATGGAAATTAGTGCTACTACTTCCCGTATTTGTAATAATTTCAATAAAAAAGACAAATATTCCAATCACAGCAGATTAAAATTAAATGCCATACTTTTTAATAGTAAATTGCCATACAATATATATTCAAAATATCTAAAAAAATAGGATGAGAAACTTTTATTGCGTCAGTTATTGTTAGTGCAAACTTTAATGAAATTTAATTATTTTTCAAATTGAATTACTTTATTAATTTGTTTTAATTAAATTCATGAATTTTATATAAACAAAATTTTATTTTACTTATTCGCGAGAATCATCACACAAGTATAATGTAGAAGTTTTAACCATGACAAAGATACTAAATACTTCTGTTATTGTTCTTAAATTATATGTCTTTTCTATAATCCAAATTAGAGAGACAGGTTAAGAAAACTTTAACCAGAACTTGGTGAACAAGGTTAGCGAACTAAATTCAAAGATAAAAAATAGTTGCATTGAACTCAATTATTATTAAATCAGGACAATCCCAGAATATTCTCCAACATAGTGTCCCTACTTGCGCATTCATTAACAACAATACCGTATTCACCTGGAGAAATTGTTCTAATATTGTTGAACTTGTTTGTTAATCATTACTTTTTCACACATAGTAGGTACGCAACTAGTACCTGTACAATCTAAAACATAAAAATATGTTAAATTTCCTGCTGGTTGCTTCCACCTCTTGTTGAAACGATAATTAGAGACGTTTTCTTTCATGCTTGAAACGCTATTGATGTATAATAATCATCATCAGCACGTGTCAGTCCACCACTGGCCGTAGGTCTCCCACACAGAATGCCACGAATTACGATCCTGAGCCACCTGCATCTATGGACTTTGCACAGATCACTATCAAGTTGGGGAACCTACCCTGCGACGGTCAATACGAGGCTGCCACTCGAGAGCATTTCTTCCCCATAACTTATCGGTTCTACCAGCTATTGTATATTTGAAACTATTAATAGCAATGTTCAAACTATAAATGGCAATAACTTGGTAATCATTTGACACAGTAACGCACTTGCCTCCCACATTCACTGAAGGCTTTCCTACTTGTAATATATGATAAGTAGACTAAACAAGGAAATTCAGAGATTTGAATGTTTTGTTGAACTAGCGATAACTAAAATGTACACAAAAAGAAACATGGGGCGATAAGTAAAGTAAAGTAAAGTAACAGCCTATACATGTCCCACTGCTGGGCAAAGGCCTCCTCTATACAGAGGGTATCAGGGCATAGTCCACCACGCGGCCCCACTGCGGATTGGCGGACTTCACATATTTTCGAAATATATATTTTTTTGTTATTATTTCGAAAATATGCAGGTTTCCTCACGATGTTTTCCTTCACCGCGGAGCACGTGATAATTCAGCACTTAAAGTTAAAAACTTCATTGGTGCCGGCACCGGGGATCGAACTCAGGTTGCTCGAGTATATTGAACTAAAGGCGAACGCCCGGACACTGAGCTATCACGGGATGATAAGACAAAACACAAATTCTTTACTTTTTATGTTGTAGAAATTAGCTTCTAGTACTTCTTTAAACTGCTAAAGCACTATCACTGTAACGTGACTATAATAGTATGATTATCGTAAGTTAAGTAGGCACTTAAAAAAGATTCAAGGAAATAAATCATTTTCTGAGTCTTTGAAATGATAGAATGTTATCTTGTTATTTCATTTTACTTGAAAACAGCAAAGTAATCATTCAAAAATGCACTTTAAAAACTAAACTTAAAAAAAAAAAAACTTTTACTAAAACTTTAATTAACCATTGGAAGGTGGATAAAAGATTTGATGTGATTATGATGAAGTATTAATACGAAAGCTTTCAATAAGATAAACGTTTTAGAAGTAGGTACATCCGATACGTCAAAGCCCCGGTAATACTTTAACGTTATGCCAATGACAATCATTTTACAAAGACAGTACATAGTAGACGCGTACCATAAAAGCCAAATAACAACTAATTATAGCGAAAGAAATCCGAGGCGACTATAAGATTTATAAAAAAGAAGAATGAATAAAAAACGACACTATTCAAAGCCGAATGACAGTAGGAGCCGTTATGCATATCCATTGTCCAGTGTCCAATTCGACGATATCCGCTGCTTCCGGTTCGAGAAGCTTCGCTGAGGGCACAACATCGAGCCGTTGAATAATCGGACAATTGGATTTCATTGTTGCGAATCGGCGACGCACCTACACTTGTGAAACTCAGCCTTGCCACCAGTTGAGCTCTCCTTCGATCGGCAGCATCGCCAATTAGGTACGTTCCAGCACCACTTCTATACGGCTCCAGGTGACAATGTTTCCAATTAGCAAACTCCAAATTTAATATGACTGTCTTGAGTGTGATATAATATAACGCCAATCGACATTAGCTAAGCTTGGGCACTTCAAGTACGAACACTGGTCCCGCTATTCCCTTATGGAGTTTTCTAAAACTTACTACGTCATCAAATACCAGTAATCGTCCACCAACGTTTGGAATTGTCGCATTCGCATGATTGATATACATCCACAATGATATAACAGAATACTGCATAGCATAATACTGCGTTATATAGCTGTGGAGAAAACAAGACATTAGACATTATTAGTGAGGAAAAACCAGCAAGTAATTGACTGTGGTTTTTTTTTTCGAATTGAAAATGTAACGTCTTATAATATACATCAGATAGATGTAGTGTGACTTTACCAAAATTGCTTAGCACGAAGTAATTCATTAGTGATGAGTTAATTAATAATAACAACATCATCATCATCATTTCAGCCCGTTTGAGTCCAATGATGAAAATTAGCCCCTGCAACAGATTTAAGACTAGAAATAAATTCTGGTTTAAGGATTTCGAATATAACCGTCGTAGTCACAAAGACCCGAAACAAGTATTTGCAACTTTAGTTTAATTAAACATTGCCCTCCGCAACATACAGCGTTGGGTCGCTCACCAGTGTCATCTAGTTTAATTATGAACAGTGATATAATTCTGTCTTTAACATAAGAACAATAGCTGTCGGCCTTCTTATATGTGAGTATTCCGATTAAAATAATACGCAGTGTAATACTTTTTGCAGTGACATAATACGTACTTAGAATATAAATGTAATCATTTTAGAATTGTAAGTTGATTCTTGCGTCTAAAGACCCGCCCCAACTCTGCTCAAGCGCAATTCAGTTTTTACAGTCTGTTCTTAAATTTAGTGAATAGTACACATTTTATTCTCAGATAAACATTTAATATATTTTCAGATTGTCAAAATGAAATGATGTGCCCACGTGTGCTAAAAACATCCAATTAATAAAAACATATCACCTGCTCAGCGGTGAAGGAAAACATTGTGGGGAAACGTTATATATAATTTTCAACAAAAAAATAAGAAAAAAAATATTTCAAGATATGTGAAATCCGCCAATCCGCATGACGCTGCATGGTGGACTACGCTCTTATGCCTTCTGGACACAAAGGGCCTTTGCCGAGTAGAGACATAATAACTATAGGCTGCTACTTTACTTTTATTAAAAACACATATTATTCAAGTTGCATACTTCAACTAGTTTAATCTATACTTTTAGTATGCAAAATTTAAAGTATTTTTTAGTAAATTGTTTCAATTTTGCTATGAAAGGTATAACCTAAAATAAAAGCAATACATATTATATTTAAATGGATTACCACCTTCGTAACAGAATTTTAAAGCGAAAAAATCAATTTAATCTGTCCAATCGGCAATTGCATACTGTAGTCATATCTACTGTAGCCAATTCGAATCCGCTGATACGAAAATACACTTTCAGCAACATCGTCGCAAACAACTCTCACGTTTTCGACTAAAAACGATATGTCGTCTATTGTGGTTTTTCCAACTTTTAAATTCGCATCTAAAGTAAGTGTATAAAAACTTCAATTGTATGTAGAACGGCAACAAAAACAATATCAATAAAATTCTACAAGCTTGTAATGCTAATTAATTGGAGTCGCAATAAAATGGGTTATTTCCATAAGCGTGTATCGGCATCCTCCCGGATGTCGGTGTACTGAGGTTTTTCAACTTTTAAGAAAACGTGGCTGTTGTTTGAGACTTAACGGATTAATTTGTATGGTGCGAGATTAAATCATAATACATTCAATACCCGCTGATCTAATCTTTTATTTACAAAAAGAAACTGCTATGAACCTGATGTATTTTTTCGGTAACTTATTACAATATTACTGATTGTGTTAAAAACTAGCGAGTTCTTTCAATAGCAATATATTTTGCTAAAACCAATTAAAGCAGTAAAGTTTCGGGAAAATTAATTGTTCTGGCCCTTGGAAGTTATTAGTTGCATCATTCAAAATAACGTTAATTTTGAAAACTTATCCCAAAAATTGTACATCGAAAAAGTACGCTATTTTTGACCACATCTTAAAACCACTACATCAGGTTTGATAGTCCATAGATTACAAGTACACCGATTCGCCGCCTCACGGCCGGCGTACCACAAGGCTCCTGCCTCTCACCTTTGCTCTTTACGCTCTACACGATCGATATACCAAAAGACCCCCACGTCAATCTCGCGCTTTTCGCGGATGACACGGCGCTCTTTTATTCAGACCGCAACCTTAGACAACTAACCACTCGACTCCAAAGCGCTGCCGACCGCCTCGGCGACTGGTTCCGCAAATGGAGAATAGAAATAAATCCCGAAAAGAGTGTAGCGATTCACTTCACACGAAGTACTTACCCGTCACATCTTTATAATGGTCCTCGCCAATGCAGAAAGTTGGGGAAAATATCCCTTTATGGCCAACCGCTCCCCTGCGAGAAAAAGGTCAAATACTTAGGAGTCACCTTCGACTCGCGTATGTCATTTACTACGCACATTAATAACGTTCGTAATAGAGCCGCGTTCGTCTCCGGCCGGCTACACAATTTAACTAACGCTAAAAGTAAAATGCCCTTAAGGCACAAATTATTATTATATAAGACCTGCGTACGACCTATTATGTCCTACGCATGCATGATCTTCGCCCACACGCACCCTACTCGCTTGTACAAGCTGCAAGTAGTACAAAATAAGTTCATCCGCCGTGCAACCGGTGCGCAGTGGTATCAACGCAACGTCGATCTGCACAGCGATTACAGACTCCCGACGATTCGTGAATATTTTAAAGACCTGACCAAACGGTTCTTCGATAGAGCCGAACATCATCCCAACCCTCTGGTGGTAAGCGCAGCAAATTACCAACCCGACACAAACGCGAACGTCAACAAGCGTCGCCCGCGAAACGTCCTCATCGACCCGGTCGAGGAAGGGGACTTAGATACGCCGGACCCACCGCCGGGGGTCCCGCCGGATAACACTACACCCACAGCTAGTGTACCAACAAACACAATAGTTCGCCCTCGCCTCCGAGCACGGCGAGACCAACACAACGGGTACACAAGGTACACCCGCGTTTCAGGGCGGTTCTCACCGCCCCCAGCCACCGATTAGCTAAAAACACAGTCGACGGCCATCGGGGTCTCGGTCCGCACCGCAACTTCGATGGCCCTTAGATGACATGTCGTAGTTAAACGCACGCATGAGCACATGCGCGGCCCTACCCACAGCGGAGGGCCCAAACCCGTGGGTTCTGGCTAGCCCACCGGTTCTGCGTCAGATGAAGCTTTAATAGTCTCGGGACTGAAAGCAAAAACATCAGTTAATACAAGATACAAGATACACCGATTCCTCCCGAAGATAATTCGCGAGGCTATTGAAATTTAAAAAAAAGTCTAATTTTAATAGAAACGAGGGTTGGGTGTTGCTATCACCTAGGTATCCTGTCATCAATCCAAACCAACCACCCTCCAACCGGGTTCTCACCTTGTCGTGGCGAAGGGGCTTAGTAACCGTGGCTTGGTCATCAACGGTGACATTCAGACGTTCAACGCAACAGTCTATGCTGTGAAGGGAAAAATAAACTGTGTAAAAACAAACGCGATAAATCCGTAAAAATAGTTTCATTTATAAATTATTGAATGTCGTACCATTCAGTGAGAATACGAATTTCATGTACTTGGCATCCAGCCACGACGAAAAATTGGTCAGAAAACTTTTAATCAGATAATAATTGTAAATAATATTCAATGAAAGAAAATTATATTCTATAATTATATAGGTATCCATCGTGGTCACGTAAAAGCACAGTATGCAACGTGTGCCAACAAAAAGAAACACATTTGGTATTACATTGTGGTAACGTGAAAACTTAAAAAAAAAAATATTGCAAACAACATTTAAAAATTCTTGGACCGTGAGAAACGTAAAAGATAAAATTGAGAATTTGCGAATAAAAACATGCGAAATATGAAATAAGAGTGATTCTTTTAAAACGCAGTTATTATACGATACACGTTATAAGAATGCGGATTATCTTAATTTACGATTACTTAGCGTCTCCTCCTCATTTTGACATTAACTCCATATTCGCACGAAATGCGAATATGGAAATAATAAAATAACGTATGATAACAATAAAATAATCGTCTTTTAATAAAATAACCAATTAATGTAAACATCATGCTACTTCGGTTGACGAATCTTCTGGTATTTTTAGAAAGGGTACTCTGCCATCCTTATACCTATTAGAAGGCTTGGGGAGAGAAAAAAGCGTTGTATGTTTAGAGCAATATATACTTCTTAGACCTATTAAAAAGTCTTTTGTGCGTTCAAAAAATGTGACGCACAAAAGACTTTTAATGTGTCTAAGAAAAAATGTCAAATGTTAATCTATAAAGTTATACTTGCAAGCAATGCCGATTTCTAATATCTTACTCACAAATAATTATCTTTCTTTATAAGGAGCTCCCTCATGGATATCCGCAGTCCAAGGTGCAATAACAATGAAATTCATATGGAAAAAGGGAGGCTATGAAATTAATGGTAGTTAAAGCGAATCCAATGCAAAACGAATTTTTCGACAATCGGTTAAAAAAGATTAAAAGTTCTGAGGTAGCAATCACAAAAAAGATAAACAAGCATATAATGAAGCACAACCAAATTGATAGTCTCCTTCTACTTTGTCGCCAAAACATGGAAATCACCACTACCCAAGAGGCTACATAATATTTTATTGCAGCTTATGTTAGACATTCGTATGGCGTCAAACGATATTATAATGATTGTTACTTTGTTTACACTCGAATAAATAACCCAGCGGTTAGCTTCGGCATCGCGGGTTCCGATTCCAAACCGAGTTGTTTTGTGTGACCTACGAATTATGAAAGAAAATCGTACTTAGACTAATGATGTTAATTTTTGGCAAAGGCCAATATAATATATATTTATATAATATATAAATATTTATGAAAATGTAAAAATGCCAATGAGGTCTGATTTTGTGCAATATTAATACACAACATGTAGAACAGATCGGATAAATTATAATTATGTATTGGAAAAGACCGATGTTATCATGAACATCATATAAAATCATTCAT